ATTAGAAGTTATGAAGAAAAAACAGTAATACCTGCAGAGCAAAGAAAGGGCTTTGAGATAGTTTAAACAATTACTTGAAAATAAGTATTTTGGTGGTCGAAGAAATTTCATTTGAAATAAGTAGCGAAGCGCACCAGGATAGCCGGTGCGATCATGCATTTTGCGCAGTTCCGTCCAGCGGACGTTTGCTTACTAAAAATATAACTGTTTTACACTTTCGTATGTGAAAAAATAGTAAATATGCTGTCTGGCTCCTAAGATGAGGTATTTCCCACTGAAAATTTCACGTGCCGGTACGTGGAAACTGAATGTGATAACATGGACGGGGAACATCCTTCCAAAATTCAACCTTCTAGTTTTTCGGTTCCCGAGCTAGTGACTTTCGAATCAAAATTTTCACGTGGTCGTACGTAAGACCTCTGCATAATTGGAAGCTAAATTTGAGTTTGTAAGATATCTGCACTGGCAGAAAACATCCTCCTGGAATTTCAACTTCCCAGCTTTCACGGTTCCCGAGATAATTTTCCGCCAAAACTTTCACGGAACCGTATGCGGTTTCCAAGCGCACGGAAAAACTAAATTCAAGCTTCCTGAGTCGCACGTGGGCAAGAGGCATTCCCATAAAATTTCAGCTGCCTAGCATCCGTGGTTCCTGACATTATGATTTTACCCGCCAAAACTTTTATAGGGCTGTACGTGTTACCCGCCGACATCAGGAGGTCGAATTTAAGTTCTCTCGGTCGCACGCTGACAGTGGACCTATCCACGAAATTTCAGATTCCTAACTTCCCTGGTCCCCGAGATAATGATTTTGCCAGCCACAACTTTTACGGGGCCATACTCGCTGGTACGGAAAGGCTGAATTTAAATTTGCGAGGCCACACGGTGGCGGGGAACACTCTCTTAAAATTTCAGCCGCCTACCTTTTGTGGTTCCCGATTTGAAAGTGCGGGACCAAACGCACTCGGACGGACACACACACACGCACACACACACACAGCCCCGTGAAAATATACGTTTTGTACTGCTGTTACACAACACAATGCATAAAAACACGAAAATATATTGCTCAATTTATTATCATCGGCCGAAATGGCACTTTTTAAGAACAGGAGACGTTTCTTTAGGGCCATTGGGGTTGGTGGAATTATCGGTCAGAAGATGAGTTATTTGCTACATCTGTTTTGGCTCTCCACAGCGGTATGACTGAGTGTTTTCAGGTTGAAAGCTGATTTATTGCAATTCAAAGTCTATGAAGTGCCTCCCAGACGTAGTTTGCATGCATCCTGCGTACGGTTTTTGTTGTCTGATAAAAGTAAACTGGAGGAGACACTGAAACTGCTGAAAGAGCAGGCAAAACTGGAGGAAAAAGAAGGCCTGGCACGAAAACAGGTTTGTTGGAAGCTTTTTTTTCACATCCAACAAGTGTAGTACCTCATCAAGAACGAGACTGCCTACTCCCCTTCTTTCACTGCTTCCCCCACCCCCCGTTTCCCCTCCTTCCGCTCTCTATTCACATTCTGTGAGAGATGAAAGCATTTTGAGGTAGCCCGAATAGTTGTACGTACTGCTAGCAGCAACCCACAAGCTGACAAGACGTCGATGGCTTCTTTTTTTGAGGGTTTTTTTACAAGCAAATTGATGGTGATTTTTAATTCCCTGAATTAATTTACTGTTGAGAACATAAGAACGGTTCATAGAGTAGCTCTTTCACTGACGAAGTCGAACCCCTGTGCCTTTAGTACGAAACTTGTCAGTCTTCCATTTAAAGGTGAGGTAGAAAATAAGGAGAAGAAAAAGGAAGGAGAACGAAGTGGAAAATGGGAGGGCGAGTATTAAAATATTTATAATTGGTAAGAAATGTTTCGGTCGGTTAAGTCGTATACATCTCTTACTGTTATCACAATTGGACCTCGTCAGTACATCGATTGTGGTAACAAAGATAATTTAGGTGATGGTTTAGTGTGTGTGTGTATGTGTGCGTGTGTGTGTATGTGTGGTGTACAAGTCTTTAAGATAATAAGAAAGGGGAAAAAAGAAGAGGTGGATACCTGCCAGCTAGTGCTTTATAGTGTCTGGGTGCTAAAAACTAATGTTTCAGTCGGATTTTTCACAGATAAAACCTAGCAAATTGCATATTTTGCTTGTGTTTTTCCCTTTTCGGTCAAGGCTAGCACTGTCGGAAAAACTGACGATTGTTTTCGGCCCCTCTTTTGACCACTTTTACATATCTGAAGTTTAGTTTATGGAGCTTGTTTTGGCCTTGGAAAGCTGCAGTTCCCGTAGATTCTCACTGTCTTGCAAATGGCACGTTAAATGATCTGCAAAGATTTAGACTTTGATTGTTATAAGAAGCGTGCGAGTGAATATCCGTTGCTTTCGAGTTTTTGATTTGTAAAATATCGAATTTGACTAAATTAAGAGCAATTCAGATCATACAGATTCTGACTGATCAAGCTCTTCAAGCTATTCAGTCTTAATGCCAGTTACTTTATTTTTTCACAAAAACAATACGGAGTGTTGTTGGTGTGCGTGTCTGTAAGGTTCGGGACGAAGAGGAGGTGGAGCTGGGGTGCCTGCTTGCGGGGAAGTGCAACACCAAGCAACCAGACCCACTTCTTTATTAGTGCAATATTAAACGAATCAAAAAAAAGTAAACGAACCCCAAAAATCACCCGACAGCAGCTCCAAGCTTTCGGCGAAACAAACAATTACAATAACAATTTCATTTTCAGTCATCACATTAAATATCACGGAGGGGGGAACTCGAGCCAGGAGACGGGGCATTTGCATATTACAGGAAATCGGAGGGCAGTGGACAAGGCGAAGAGGGTTGAGCCTCCAACTTCGCTTCCTTGTTACTCGCTCCTTCCTTTTGCAGCATGTCCCATGCCAGTGATGCTGCTGGACTGTCCCCACCAGTCAGTACGTTGACACTATTTTCAAGGGGGAAAAATTGTTGCAGTTACTGGAAAAGGCAAAGCAGCAAGTCGCGCTGGAACCCGTTTATATCCGGTGGCCACGGGCAATTAAAGCTGGCGCTTTACATTATTACCACGGTTTTCGACTTCTCTTTTTGGAAATGTGGTTGAGTGCCAAATATTTGTGGCGTTTTCTGCGACGAAAGCCGTTAATGCGTCGCGAGAAGCAGCAGCTTATTCGGACACTCTCCGATGTTCTGCGGCTAATTCCATTTTCTGCCTTTATTATCATTCCGTTTATGGAGTTTACGTTGCCGTTGTTTTTGAAACTCTTTCCGAATATGCTGCCGAGCACATTCAAGGATGCCACCAAAGAGGTTTTTTTTGAAATATTTTTTTTTTTGATTTCACGGAATTGTGGTTTTCCTCCATTTTAGTTATTCTTAGCAATTCATTTTAAGATTTTTCAAAAAAAAATTTTGGCATTATGAGTTAAACGTAACCGACTATCTGGTTTTATGTTTACTCATCCAGTCTCCTTAGTTTGTCTGCTCATCCTTGCACAACACGTTCAAAACCTTAACGAGGATGGGGAGGTTAATCCAGGCTCCCCTGGGGCCGGGTGAATACCCTCAGGGATCTTTGCTGCCAGTAGGACAGCGTGCTTAATTGGCGAGTAGACATTGCACATTATGAAGCCATCCATCCTCCGTTATGAAGCCGTTCGCTTTCATAGCTCGCATCGGTAATATCGATGGGTTTTAAATCACAGATTAGGAGTTGCAAGGCATTTTTAAGCGTTTTAGTTTCGATAATCTGTGATTTCAGCTTATTTGAGTTTTGTTTCATAAATTCACTTGATTTTTAGATTTTCCTTACTTGATTTCTCTCTAATTATTTTAAAATACAGTGGATAAGGAATTCTTGCTGATGGGTCAATTTCTCTTCCCACGAGTTGCCCCCACCTGCTTTTCTTCGTTTTAGTAGATTCTTCCACAGAAAAATAGCGCTGCGATCATACGCAGGCTTGTTTTTTTTTCACCCGCTGTTTCACCAGCTTTAGTTGCTACAGTCAGATTCTTGAAAACACAAGCTTTTCATGCAGGACTGCTAAAAATTCGATAATCTCTCTCATAGGTGAGTTTTTAAAAATTTTTGCACCAATCTCCGGAAATTTTATTTTGCATATGTCATGCCTGTTCCTTGAAGGCTTTAAATGATTCTGACACATTGGTTTTACGTTGCTCTTGCGGTCTGTCAATCGGGATGAGCAACCGATCCCGGCTGACGTAATTATTTAGAAAAGTCATCGAGCAAAAAAAGCTTTTCTTTATTCTTTCTGTGCTGTAGGAAAAATTCCGGCAGCTGTTAGCTACTTCAGGAGGAGAAATTACGTAGAAAATTGAAAGCCAAACTGGAAACAGCGAAACTTCTCCAAGCTGCTATGGAAGAAATGGCTCTGTACAGAAAGAAAAATGCGAAAGATGATGACAAAACGGCAAGCGTTGCCGTGGAGTTCGCTGAATTTATCAAAAAGGTCTGCTGTCTTTTTGCTTTTGCTGAAAACTAAACCATCTACATATTTGTTCCGTAAATTTCGATAAATATTCGCAGGATTTGCGTTACAAACGTATCTCGCTGTGCTGTGCTGCAATATGACGTTTGTTCCACTACCTGCAAAAATCGCTTCTAATTTGACAGTAGAAGTACTGTTCTGGACGTTGTTGCTTATGGCAAAAACAAAGCATTTACTTAGGTTGCTGGGAATTTTGACTAAGTTAACTTTCTGCTGTACTGTTTCCCACCAGTAGTCATTATACTGTTCCCTTTTACTACTAAAACTTGACATCTAACGTATATTTTGTCAATGAATTAGGTCAATAAGAGAAG